TGAAAAGTGTCATTCAATTCAGCAATCAGAGTACAACTCCAATTTATAACCATGACAAATTTAATTCAGAACATAATGCGCCCAATTATGACTCCGTCAAAATAATTTTACACTTCATTGGATGTGTTAGTAAAACTTTCCAACAGTTACCAGAAAATGAAATTTTCTAGTACCTATCAGGTCTACTTACTAGAATTAGAGCCAAGTTTTTATTGTATTAATTTGACAGTGCTATATATGTTTAGTGTAGATAGTAAAACATTGTTTTGCAGCTGTAAAATCTAGCACTGTCATCATCAATGTCTCAAATTCACTGTGTGCTGAAAGATGGCATTAATCCCAAAATAACAACAACTTTGACACATGAAGGGAAGCATTTAAAGCAAAGAGATCTGGTATAAACCACCATTTCACTTATTATTTAATTGGCTGACAGTAGCTAGTGATATGTGATTGAAGGCAGCAGTGGGTGAGTCCATTGTACTAATATGCATTGGTAGGATGTGGAACAACTCATAAGCAAATCAAAGGGATGCTACATACGTATACAAGAACAAACATTATTACATATTATTGCCTTGAATGAGAATGTTTAAGCAGTATGATTAAATTTTTGACAAGTTTGTGAACAGTGTCATCATTTCGTTGAAGTTGGATTTTGCTGTGTATATAGAATGTACAGAAGGATCATATCCAGTGTTTCCCTTTATGCAGTTGTGCGTAAGGGACACACACTATAGAAAATTGATGCACATAAATTTTTGCTGTGCGTTTTTTTGTTGCAAATGATTTTCAAAATATAGTCAGGATTTATTTAATATCCAATACGTTGCATTAGAGATGGCATCGTGTATACTACTATTATACATTAGGGATGCCATCGTGAATACTTCTTCTAGTTTCCTGTTTCATATGCTTTCAGTGTTGCACACTGCATTACTGAGCAAACAAAGCAGAGAACCAGACTACCATTAGACAATATTATGACAGAGTAGCTTTCCCTGATCTTGCAAGCTTTCATGCGATTCTATCGAGTTTAGCAAACTGTCCAGAAACATCTCAAACCTCAATTCTTGTTGCACTAAAATGTGATCTCGTGATGAAAACGACGTGCACTAAGAATTATTAGTGAAGAAAATGAAAGAAGAAGAACATGAAAGATCTGACTCTAATGAAAAACGGATAAAATATGCCCTTTGACTAGAATACGGCAGATCCAAGGCATTGGGGTTACTGGTATGACATCTACACAATTGAATAATCCTTTCATGACATCGTTTGAGAATTTTAAAAAATCTGCCCTTGATCACCACAAGATATCTTTTGAAAATATTAACTAAAACATTCTTTCAGAACAAAGAAATAAGTAAACTTGCAGAGACAAATTCATTATTTGGATTACAAATTCAGGGGGTTGTTGCAGATTGTTCTAACTTTACTGCAACGAAAGAAAGATCTAAAAGTGTAACTTGTTAAAGAGAAGATGAATCATTAGCCTTTGATTTTTGGATAAATGTGTTGAAACCTATGATAGTACACGTTTTATGACAGGCAGTAAATTAACTGTCGTTTTGTTAAAAAGATTTATATGGAGTTTTGTATTGGCTTATATGTAATGTGTTGGTCTATAATAATGCTATGAAAAATTATAAAGAGACTGTTAAAAGTACGACTTTAAACTAAAAGGAAAATTAACTAATAAAAGTATCCTTTGAATGGATAATGCATTTGTGTTAATTGTACCTATTTTTTTGTATTTGAGAGAGAGAGAGAGAGAGAGAGAGAGAGAGAGAGAGAGAGAGAGAGAGAGAGAGAGAGAGAGAGAGAGAGAGAGAGAATATTGTGCAAATTGCAATATTCTATTTCAGCTGAAAAAGTATGGATTAGATGAAAATTTGTCAGTACATTTTTGACCCCCACAATTTTTATTTGGCCCCATTTAATTTATATTAAAATTGTAGCTATTGCAACATTGTGTGACAATATTATAGAGGGAAAATTTTGGTTATGTGGAAATTTGTGTCCAGGCTTGTGGAATGTGGAATTCAGGCAGGGCTTGTGAGTTTATTTATAAGTCACCAGCTGTGGGCCTGTGTCTATAAAGAAATTTCTTTGAGCACTAAATAGAATTTTCTTTACAGCATATATTTAATATTCTTTTGTTTAAGGGAAAGAATGCATCTCTTCAAAATTCAGAAATAATTCATCTCATTTGTTGCCATGATCTCATTTCAGTCACAAAATTTAGATTATAATCTCACCATGAAAGAAAACCACCTACTATTGGCTGTAATATTGTTTTCAGCTCAATTTTCATTATTTGTCATCCTTTTACGATTCACAAAATTCTGATGTCAACTTACCCAAATCTTAGATTTTCATGATATCACTCAAAAATCTATATAGCTGTTTGGTTGGAAAGTTTTATTTGCTGAGCAGCATTTTCAGCTGTTATTGTCAATTTCATGAGAATCATTTTCAGTTTGTAATTAATTATTTTCTTACTCGTTTAAACTTTTTATAACCAGCTCATCTATAACCTGTCATTCTCAAGAAACTTTCTGTATGTTTGGTCCAAATGTTTGCTTCTCTTATACTGATCAGACCTCTTTTGAAGTCGACACATTTGTAAAACCTTTGAATTTTGTGTTCACAACAGTATCTGTTTTACATACATGTATGGTTTGTGTCATTTGCATAGATTATCACATATATATATACCCAAATGCTTAAAAATTGACCAATTTCATCAATGAGCGATGTTTGAAATGTTTTTCTTGCCTTGTCCACACTGTTTCTTGCCTTGTCCAAACTGTTTCTTGCCAAGTTGATTTTACTAGTTTTCTTTGTGCTTTGTTATTGTTTTCAGGAAAATTGTGAAATATCAGCATTTACACTTACAGTAACTTGCCCAGCTAACAGTAGAAAGCACCTCTCAATCATAATCTTTGAAAAGCTTAGGGATCTGTATCTTCTAATGACTCTGGTTGACACTGATTCTTAGATGATAATAATACATTTCTCCATTTTTAAACTGGCCGGATAACAGTTGGAAGGACATATTTAATTGATCTAATTGTTCAAAACAGTCTACCTGGTCTATTAAGTGATTTTAGCTCTTAAAATCAACACGTGTTTTAATAAAAGAGTTTTAAATATTCAGCGCAAATACACTAATTTCAGAATAGATTTTGCCAAATAATCATGTACTACAGACATGATCAGTTTTCAAAATGTTTCCATTGTCATTTTTAGTAAATTTTAAACCATGATACTCATATTTTTAATACATGTCAAGGGAGGTAATTCTTACAGTAGTGCACACATGTTGGTGGACAACACATGACATCATCAGTACACACTTATTATATTATGATTGACTTCACCCTCATGAAATTTACCTTAATAATAATTGTATAGTGTACAATATTGATAGTGTGTCATTTATGGTGTTTGTCCACATTTGTTGGTTGTTTGTCTGACAACATGCAGAAATGCAGAATTGATTATCTCTGCTTTTTTGTCATTCATATAAAGAATGTTTGAAGAACCTTAGCTGCCCATTAAATTGAAAGTCTGTTAAGAGTAAAGGACCTAAAAAAATACCAAACTGAAGCTCAGGTTTAAATTGGGTATGAATTCAGGGATGTGTTTTGAAGAGTTGTTTAAATTTTGTTTAGAAATTGTGTTCTTTCTTATCAATGTTTTTGTGTCTGCAACAGCTGGTTTTCCTAATTGAAGGAACAACCTTTAATAGGGATTACCTGGTCTAATAATAAGGATTACCTGGACTTATTTATTAGGATTATCTGGTCTTATAATAGGGATTGCCTGGTATTATAATATGGATTACCTGGTCTGATAATAGGGATGGCCTGGTCATATAGTAGGGATTACCTGGTCTGATAATAGGGATTACCTGGTATAATAATAATAATAGGGATTGCCTGGTCTTATAATAAGGGTTTCCTGGTCTGATAAAAGGAATTGCCTGGTCTTATAATAGGGCTTTCCTGGTCTTATAATAAGGGTTACCTAGTCTAATAATAGGGATTGTCCATAATGTTAGCACTAATGTGCATGGCATCATAAATTGCAGACTTCCAGGAAGTTCTTAATGCTTCAGAATTGCTAAAATAAGATGCAAAAATCTATCCAAAAAATCTCAGTTATGTTCTCCAGTTATTTCATAGAACTTGAACTCTTTAAAAAGAAATTTCAGCGTTTTGCCTTCTAAGAATATGAAAAGATATGTGAATATAAGATTTGGTAAGGATGGCTAACAAAGCTCTACTCATTGGTTTATTCAGTTGCTAAGATATAGAAAGGTCAAAAGTCATGACCTCTTCTTACTAAAAAAAATCTAACAAAGGATTTGATGACAAAACTGAAAGAGTTTTAGTCATTGTATGTTTTATTTTATTTTAACATTCCTGTAGTATTGGAAACTTCGAGAGCCAAGCAATTTTGTAATCCGTTAAAAATATGAAACATTTTGGTGCACTAATGTTTCAATCATTACAGATTTGCAAAATATTAAAATTTTAAATGTCACTTTTAAAGAAAAATATATAAATGAGTAGACTAATGATTTTTTTTTAAAGTCATTAATATGAACATGGGACTGCTCTTGTAGCCTAGTGAGTAGAGCATCTACCTTGGATGCAGGAAGTTGGGGGTTTGAACCCCAGCCAAGTCATACTAAAGATTTATAAAACTGGTACTGGCAGCTGCCTCGCTTGGCACTCAGCAATAAGAGGTTAGTGTTAGGACTAGTCAACCTGGTGTCAGTATAATGTGACTGGGTGAGACATGATGCTACATGTCTGTGGCATGATGCCCCAGTGCTAGACATTAGTATAAACTGTCACACTGCACATATCGTAGTGACATGAATAAAAATGTTTTTAAAGGTGCATTAAAAATCCAAAACACTCACAACATGAGCATGGTTATTTACTGTACCATGTTTTGTTTAGCTTTTCAGTACAAAAGAATTGGACCGCTCTGGTGGTCTAGTGGTTATGGTGTCTGCCTCGTATGCATTAGGTTTGGGTTCGATCCCAGCCAAGTCATACCATAGACTTATAAAAATGGTACTAACAGCTGCTTTGCATGGCACTTAACATTAAGAGGTTCGTGTTAGGACTGGCCTGGTGTCAGGATAATGTGACAGGGTGGGATATCATGCTACATATCTGCGACATGATGCCCCAGTGCTAGAAATCACTATAAACTGCCACACTGCAGACTTTGTAGCGATATATCTTAAAAACTCAAAGAATTGGAAAGTATGGGTGCTCTTATTTTCTGTACACTTTTTCACATATATGCTTATTTTAAAAAAATTATAACATTATCATCATTATATAGCACTAATTCATTAAAGTTATATGCTAATTAGAATTTTAGATTTGCCATAAAAAAATTGTTAACACTATTCGCATAGGACAGCATACAGGATTTTTATTCTTTGACCATTTATATTCACTTATAAGTCACATTATGTGACAGAAGATCAGGGTATATGTTGTTGGCAGTGTTACTTATATGTGAGTACAGATGGTATTTCTTGTAGTTCTCTAAGGCTTCTAATGTTAATACAATCTGTAGGAAATGTTACATAAAGCATCATGTGTAGAGTGTATACGACAAATCAAAGACTACCAATTGGTAAAAAATTGTATGGAATTTATCCATAGGTTGCGATTGTGTTGATTGCATGCTGTAACATTTTTAGACGTCATACAGTCCTACAAGCTTTTTATGGTTCATATATAATAGTCACTTATTTAAAATCACTTATTACTTTATATAAATTAACAAGACAAAAAAAATACTACCTAATTAGCATTGTTAAATGAGTTACTTAATTAGAAATGTTAAATGAGTTACCTAGAAATGTTAAATGAGTTATCTAATTAGAAGCTTTAGATGAGTTACCTAATTAGAAATGTTAAATGAGTTACCTAATTAGAAATGTTAAATAAGTTACCTAATTAGAAATGTTAAATGAGTTATCTAATTAGAAGCTTTAGATGAGTTACCTAATTAGAAATGTTAAATGAGTTACCTAATTAGAAATGTTAAATACGTTACCTAATTAGAAATGTTAAATAAGTTACCTAATTAGAAATGTTAAATGAGTTATCTAATTAGAAGCTTTAGATGAGTTACCTAATTAGAAATGTTAAATAAGTTACCTAATTAGAAATGTTAAATAAGTTACCTAATTAGAAATGTTAAAAAAGTTACCTAATTAGAAATGTTAAATAAGTTACCTAATTAGAAATGTTAAATAAGTTACCTAATTAGAAATGTTAAATGAGGTACCTAATTAGAAATGTTAAATGAGTTACTTATTATAGTAATTAAAAATATTAAATGAGTTACCTAATTAGAAATGTTAAATTAGTTACATAATTAAAAGTCTTAGAGAGAAGTTGCCTAATTAGAAGTTTTAAATGAGACACCTTATTAGAGTGTTAAATGAATTGCATATATGGAAAATTTAAATGAGTTACTTTTGCTTTTTACTTAAAATTTTGATTCAATAAAAGCTAGTTTCAACATGTACAGTTTAGTTTCTATATTGCTGTACAGTTGAGAAATATTTTCTATATTTGTACTCTTGCCAATCAGTCAGTGTTTAAATTTGTAAACTTTGCCGTATATTCAACACACATACAACCATCCACATACAACCATATACATGTATATTCAACACACATACAACCATCTGTTTCCATCCTTTTTGAGCTTTAATAATTTAATAGGATAGCAATATTCCCTGTCAATGAACTTTTTTTAAAAGCCAGTTCTTATAAAGGTGGCTTTGAAATAGTGTCACCATTGTCAATCGGTCATTGTGCCATGTCATGACTGTTATAAACACATTGCCACTCTAGTAACTTTTGAGAGATTAATTGACTAAGTTTGGTATCAGTTTGACTCAGGTTAAGTTCAGTTTTTGCTATTTACCAAACACAATTTAGTTATGTCACTTATTTTAGTTAGCATATAACCCCTCAAATGCATCAAAATTTTGTTTCCTATTAAGAAAATTTGAATGATAAAATGAAATAACACTAAATTTAAATGACTTACTGGAATAACACCAAATTTGAGGAATAACTTTCAGAAGACAAGGGTTCTGTTTAATTTTCACCATTTTCTGACAGAATTATATAAAGATATGGCCCGTGTTTTTTATTTAAATTTTGTCCTTCAGTTGCACCTATCCATAATCTTACTCGTATGTCATCACTGACATTAAGCCAATCAGAGACTACTATCAGATAATAAAAATATTACACCATTACTGGAAATAAGGGTTTGGCTTACTGTGATCCAAACATTCAATTGATGGATTTGTTGAGGCATCTGTGTCATAATAACACAATATTTAGTTTTCAGGTACCATGGAATCTGGTTATATCAAGAAAAAAATTAAGTCAAAAGTAAGGTTTCTTTTATGAGCAGATTATAATGAAAAATAGGAATAATTGCATGATTTATTTTAGTAATCCTCTCAGTTCTGTATTGTTTTGTCAGATCTCCTAATAAGAAGTTGATACAGATAAATTCCACTGTTTATTCTATTACTCATCACCTTATCATAGCAATTTTCATCCAAGTAATAGATTTACTGTGTTTGTTTTAAAATAATTATAAATTCTCTCATTTTTGAATCTAGTCAGTAAGTTTTGTAGCTTAAAATAGAACAGTTTATGATATGTCTATTTTGTGAACTGTAATATTCATCTTTTGCTTAAAGACTATGCAAAGGTCTATTGATGCAAAGGTCTATTGATGCAAAGGTCTATTGATGCAAAGGTCTATTGATGCAAAGGTCTATTGATCAATCACCTGTCTGTAAGCACATTTCTTGTCACAATTCCTCTTAAACTACAATAGCTCCAGTGGCCTAAGTTGTTAGAGCATCTGCCTCAGATGTGGTGCATCATGGGTAATGCCACTGTGCTCTAAACTGCCTCATCATGTGACTGAAAAATTGTTAAAACTATGTTGAAAATCTAAATCACACAAACACACACACACACGTCTGGTTGGTCCTTAATGAAAATGGTGCTTCACAAATATCCCAGATGGCCACCATCTTAAAAATATTGTTATCACTATTCTTTCTATACTGATCTTTATATAAACAGCATGTTGTTTTAAATCAAATACATCTTTTATCATTAGTAAAACAATTGTCAATGATCAGGCCTTTAGTATGGCCACTATAGTAAAAAAATTGGCAATGATCAGGCTTCCAGTATGGCCACTATAGTAAAAAAAAATTGGCAATGATCAGGCTTCCAGTATGGCCACTATAGTAAAAAAAATTGGCAATGATAAAAATTGGCAATGATCAGACCTCCAGTATGGCCACTATAGTAAAAAAAATTGGCAATGATCTGGCCTCAAGTATGGTCACTATAGTAGCATAGCTGCCAACCCTCACGATTTTTGCATGAATTTCATAACTTTTTCAGCAATTTATGGATTTATGCCACATGCAAAAACAACATGAATTAATTCCCCAATTCTCAATTATTTTAAATCTTTAATAAAATTTGATTTCTCATTAAGTACTAGTCATGATATATGCAGTTGCCAAAATGGTCCGGTACTGCTGGTCACAATACTAATAGAACTATAGTTGATTGAGACACTTGGCCTGGTAGCAAGCATTGTAACATATTATCAATATTTTTAAGAGTAGTTTTACAAAATGCTTTTAAGAGAAACTGAGGTCTAACTGGAATTTTGCTCCACACATGCACTGCCAACATTGATTTGAATTACTGTGCAGCATTGATATTGAAAATGTTTTCACCACCAAGGAAGAAAAATGTATTGCACAAAAAGTGAAGTTCAGTTTGGAATATACCAAAAAATAGCTGTGCATTCAGTCATCAAACACCGATATATATTATGCTTTTTGCACACAGTCTGCCACAAATTTAAGCATTGGGCATGGAAGTAGAGATAATGTGAGGAAGCACATTATGATTAGCAAAAAGCACATAGGTTGGGAAAATAAGAACTCACAGCAGATTTCAGCTCTGGAATATTTTAAGCCATTGACGGAAGGCATGCAAGGTACCAACACTAAAACATTGAATTTTCTTGGTGAACACGATCTACTTTTATTAGCTGGAGACCATGCTAAACATTTGTTCCAACAAATATTATCGGACTCAAAGATTGTTTCATGAATTCATGTCAAAATTTACTAATTTTTATCCCTATTTTCACTAATTGCGAGCCTAGAGGGTTGGCAGGTATGTGGTAGACTTCTTGAAAATCTTGTAATGGCTCCTCCCTCTGACCAGATGCTTATATATATCTAGGATTTTTATCAATAAAAGATTTAGAATATTTGGTTGGTCCTCACTGACAAAGATTCTGATTAGATCTTCAACATAATTGCCATCTTGAATCATATTATCAGTACTCCTCGTAGTGGAATGGTTGTGTCAAGAAGGGAATCCTATTAAAAACTTCAGACTAGATGTAATTGGCCCTAAAGTCAATCAGATATGATCCCACAAAATGTTAAAAATCTTTTTACGCCTACTTATCCAAAATTTGTTAATGTTGATAAAACATCTTTTAGAGTATATAGCTATTTTGTGTTAACATGATGCTGATCAAATTTCAAAATGGTTTCCATGATGGCCATCTTGAAACTTTCTTTATGTGGCTACTTCTATCATAACTTCAATCATGACATTTTGATAAGAACTCTACAATAAAATGTATTATGTGGCCACTTCTATCATAACATCTCCATGGCATTTTGATAAGATCTGTACAATAAAATGTATTATGTGGCCACTTCTATCATAACATCTCCATGGCATTTTGATAAGAACTGTACAATAAAATGTATTATTTGGCCACTTCTATCATAACATCTACATGGCATTTTGATAAGAACTGTACAATAAAATTTATTATGTGGCCACTTCTATCATAACATCTCCATGGCATTTTGATAAAAACTGTATAATGAAATTTATTATGTGGCCACTTCTATCATAACATCTCCATGGCATTTTGA